TTTTTTTCCAGATATCCTGTGCTCATGACTGCGCTGATTACTCCCTTGGCAATCAAGTAGTCATTTCATGTTACTATAGAACGCTGGATACCATATTCTAGATGCATATTGCTTCCGTCAGGAAATTGCTAAAGCTTCTTGAATGTGTAAGTGGTGGCTCTGTCAGTAAAACAAAAATTAAAAAAAAAATCAACATTCAAATTTAATGTGCTATCCCTGCAAACCATTTTTTCAGAGTATTCATCATTGTAAAGAAATTTTAAAGAATTCGTTAAGATTTAATTCAATTTTTTGCCGAATTTTCTAAAATGAAATAAATTACGCACACTTCAATTCTTTTACGAAATTTCGGAAGAAAATCTGAAGCAACGAAAATAATGCTGCTATGTGAAGAATATCTTTCAGAATTGTTCCAGAATTTTCTTTATTTTTCGTACAGAAATTTCTTTACGAGTTCGTGTCAACCACTTCAAATAATTTTCTTTGAAAATTCGTAAAAAAATCGTTACAGAAATGAGATACTTCTAACGATTTCCTTAAGATTTCGGGTAGTTTGGTTTGCAGGGATAATACTACATACATACGTACATAAAATTTTTCTAAAGATTAAAAAAATAATAATTTTTTATAGCATTCCAGAATATTGGTTTTCGTTTTGTGGGAAACCTGCACTAGATTTTGTTATGTACCCTTTATCAAAATTTGGCTCAAAAGGTCTCTTGTAAATTTGGTAAGCTTTCAATTCAAAAAATGTATCAAATTATTTTAAAAAGTAAGGCTCTGGTGGATTATGAACAGTTTCCAATCACTGTGCAACGCCAAACTTCACAACGGATGCCTGAAATTCATTCAAAATATATCATCCATACACTCTATCGGAAGTAGAAGCAAACACCAGCTACTAAATTCGCCAAATTTTTGTGAAAAACCAATACTTTAGTTGTAAAATAAAGAAATGTTAAAACTTTTGGAAAAATTTATGAACAAAAGCAAAATTTGGCCAAAAAACTGACCCGGTTCCGAAATGATTAAAATTATTAACGAAAAACAAAACAAAAAATCGTTGATAACTGGAACACCATTTGTGTGTGGTCGTAAAATGAAATCAAAGCAAAACTAAAAATAAATTAGCAAATGCGTAAAATAATTACTTTTACTCATAGTTGCAACAACTGCACTGGCAAATCCAAGATGCGTACAGGAAATATTTGACTTTTGTATTCATGCATTCTTATTTTTTGAATATTATTTGGATTAAATGCAGAAAATTACAAACAAAAATCCTCTACGACAGCCGTTATTCATTTTAACGTACATACTGCATTTTTCTGACATAAACACATATCGCACACGATCTTCAAAAGTGACACAACTCAAAATTACCCGTTAGTCAGAAAATGTGAAAAACTATTTCGTAGCTCATGCTAATCATATGGGCAAGGGAGACTTTACCTTAGGTTTTTTTTTTTTACAATAAATTATGACAAAAATTTGATGCAGATTTTGCTGAAAGGTAAATAACAGCTCTGTGTGCATTTTTAGTGCATAATTTCAAAGATGCCAAATTTTTAGTTGTGTCACTTTTGAGGATCGTGTGTGCGATATGTATGTACATATGATTGCGTACTTGTTTTGTATAAATATAAACATATTGAACAAAAGCCAAATTTAATGCACCAATTTGTTTATAGCTGCATGCTGCATATGTATCGCTACACTGAGGGAAATAAAGCATAGTAAAAATTAATATTTTATATTTGATTATCGTTTAAAAATGTTCGAATTTAAAAATAATATTTTCATACAAAATTTATTACGCACGTATTTGACTGTTCACATCTGAGTATATATATGAGTGTACATACGCACCCCAAGCATGCAGAGCGCCGCTCTGAGAGAAGTGACAACACACACATTCATACATAGTACATGTTTATCCGTACAAATCGCGTGCTGTGGTGTTGATGGATATTCAACATTTGCAAAGGAAATTTGTATGGCTGGGTGTAGCTGAGTGCGCAAAGATGCATGCCACAATTTGTTGATATCCAGAGATGGTCAGGGTTCGAATTCCACTGGAGGCAACATGCAAGTTGAATATTTTTTTGTTTTTGTCTTGATTATTCACTTCACGGAGGCTTTTTCAGAATGAAAGCGGTCATTTTAATATACGCGTAATTGAAATGAATATTTACCAATATACAGCACTTTCGTTGATGTTTATAGTAAGATCAATTACGTTTCTATTTGATTTTAATATTTTTTCCCCTCAGTGTATAAACAAACTTTGCATGCATTTTTAATTGATTGTAGGTATATTTTGAAATTTCGAAAAAAAATTTCGACAAGTTTAAAGTCTGCAATATTGTTTACCTTACTTTCTTTGCTTATACAAATGAAATATTTGCAAGCTAAATAAACAAATAAATCTCTTAGTCAAAATTGGAATACAAAAAAAGATGAAATTAAAGTTGATTATTGAATGTGGCCATACATACGTATGTATTTCCCCCATTACGAACTCTGATAAAATGGCTCAATGCCAAAGCATCTTCACAAATTAAGCAAAATTTGATAACCATTTCTTGGACCAAGCAGTTTCCCAAATCATCCTTCACTTATTCTAAACTCTAAAACAGCTCTACTTATACACCCCTCTCTGTTTCACCGCGCTTCACTTCCCGGCAACCCATCTGCATCTGCATCTGAATTCAATTGCATCCAATTCAATTCGATTGCCAAGGAAATCAAACAATTTTTCAAATATTTAAATGAAGCAGCAAATTGTTGCATCCGATAGGCATTGAACTGGCTGCATGCAGCTGTTGTTGTCGCTCCGAATGCCATTGCATTTAATGGTTTTACTGCAGTACTCTTCAAACAACCGTACCAACATACAACGTACATACATACATACTATGTATGTACGCGTAAAACGCATGCCATTCAGTCAACACCAGTGTGCGAATTTACTCACAAATTCCCTCAATTTCTACTAATGCCTACATATTTTTTGTTTGTTTTATTTTTCTTCTTTTAGATTTGAAATTCAGCAGAGTTGCATCACAAATAACACACACCGAGGAGGAGCAGCAAGCAGCAAGCAGCGCATTCAGTTTGTACTTTAAATTGCAAATTTTCCAGTAGACGCGCCAACGCGCGGTTTCGTTCATAGCCATGCGTCGGCTGATTGGTATACTATTTCTATGTTTGATTGGCTTTGGATTATTGGACACGACACGAGCTGATATATCGTAAGTGGACTTTGAAGATATCAATCAGATTCTTGATATTTACTAAAGTAATTTGAGATTACTCCTTACTGAGATTACAAATACTGAAAAAGTCTCCAATTATTTTGTTGTGCTACAGACAAAAGTACGCTTTAAACAATTTCCTGAGTGCTCAGAGTTTAAAATCTGTTTCTTTCTTCATAAATATGATTCTAAGCAAGGAATGAAACCGATTCAAAATAACGTTCCGGTTTGGGTTTCGGTTTTGCCAAGTGTTTCGGTTTCGGTTTTGGTTTCGTTCTTCAAAATTTATTTCGGTTTTGGTTTCGGTTTCGTTCCGGTTTCGGTTTTTTTTCACAGAAATTTTGTTGATATTATTTAAATCACAATGTCTTAAACGTTGAGGAAAGAAAATCGAAAATTACAGTTCACTGATAATATCAACACTAGGTTCTTTCCCTAACAATCCGGACCGGATTTGGTAATTAGAGAATATGAGAAACATTTTCTTTCAAAAATGGAACAAAGTTCAGAAGTACGGAAACGCAAAAACCCACATTTCGTGCCCACACGTCGAGCAACAGCTGATTCACGTTGTTCTTGTTTTTGTCACTTATACCATGTTCTGACCGACATCGGAAACATGTTTTCGTTGCTAAAACTGGTTTTCGACCTGAAACTTGTGTTTTCGTCCATATAAAATCTGTTAAACGAAGACCAGTTTTCGCTGAAAACTACTTGAAAACTCACTTTCCACTCATTCCAATCGGTGTCTTCACTAGTTTTTTTCGATTACTTGTCGAAGCGGAAGTCATATTTTATCATCTTTAATACGCCATTTCGGATTTATTGTTAATTGCCTGGCCAAAGCAAAATAAGAATGAAAGTTAAAGGTTGTAAATGAAAAGAAAATGAAGGAAAAATGTTTTGGTTGTCGGTCAGAACATGGTATTAAATGCAAACACTTGGAAATTGAATTTTGGTTTCACAAATTTGATTTTAAGTACATAGATTGAAAATACATCAACAGGCCATTCACTTTTCCTTAAAGGCACCAAGTAAATGCAGGCAACATGTAAACACAATACAGCTGATATGCACTTTGACACTTTATCCATTTTTACTCGGAGAAAAATTCCGGGCTGTTTCGGGCAGGAAGAAGAATACACTTACGATCGAATACGCTCGAATTTTCGTTCTCTATTACCCATTTTGTTGAGTACAGGAATGATTTCTGGGCTATTTTGGGCACACGCGGGATCTCGCATTGCGTACAGGAAAGAAACTACTTAAATATAATTAATCGATTATCGATTCACAACAACAAAGTCATCAGCAGATTTTTGCGAAAAGTTACCTTGCCATACTTATTTACTACTTAACAAGAATTTTAGCAAAATGTTGCTGATTTTGGTTAAATAAATCATTTATTTCAAAGAAATTTTTATTTATTATTTTTGTAAATTTCTGGAAACCGATTGAAACCTGTGATTGAAATGGTTTCGGTATCGTTCCTTTTCAGGTCAAGATAACGGTTACGGTTTCGGTTTCGGTTTTGAAAAACGAAACGGTTTTAAACGGTTACGGTTTCGGTTTGGGTTTCGGTTTCATTCCTTGATTCTAAGATCAGTCAACCAGACGGACTCTTTTGGTGTCACGAATTCTGAGTTAAACAAACGTGACAAAGTTCACGTAGAAGTAAAAAAAAAATTAATAATAATAATTATAAATAATATTTGTTTTTAAGAAATATGGTCTTTTATAAGCTCAAAGTGAAGGTTAAAACCAGGCTTGGGCAACGCCGACTGCGCAGTACCCTCGAGGTAACGTCGCGTGATCGTGTACACGAAGTTGAAGGCGAAAATAAATTGTAAATTAGCTTCAAGAATTTTAAGCGATTCATTAAGAAACATTGATTAATGTTCGCCTTCAGCTTCGTGTACACGAACACGCGATGTTAAAGCGAGTGTACTGCGCAGTCGGCGTCGCCCAGCCCTGGTTAAAACTCATAATTCAGGGACTTTTCTGACTCTAAAGTGTGTGCAAATGTTTACAGGGTACAATCCTTTTTGCGGTGGAACTCTGACAATGGCTATGCCTTATTTTCGTCGCCGAAATTTTCTAAACAAAAAGCAATGGAGCCTGAAAGCATATCTAGCAGAATGGGGAGCATTTAACTAGATGTTGCACCGTTAGTTTATACTTCTTAATATCATATTAATTACGATCTTTGTAGTTTTCCAATGTAGTGCTTTCTGAATTGTATAGGCGACTTTCCCTCCATCCCAAATAATTCAAATCGGCATTTTTGAGCTATTTTCCTGCCCGAAAAGTTTTTTTTTGCAAGACACAGATGTTACTTTCCATTCGATGTTTACCTCGTCTTTCAAGTTTTTCAATACTGTGTTCAAAATATGATGGGACCCTTTAAAGGTTTTGGCAATTTTTGTGTAGTTTCATATCGGATTTTTTTTTAAGAACCTTCAATTAAATTTTTGTGGAATTTCGGCTAGATTCTCCATTTTTAGCAAACACTTTAATGAAAAGAAAAAAAAGTTATCTGGACTTCATCTGCCATTAAAATCATAGACGATGGTACCCTTTTTTATCACACTCTTAATAGGATAGAAGGAGTAAACCGAAATGTTTACATTTTTTCGTGTGCACTCTTTAGAACTCTGATCACTTTGGTCTTCTGGTATTCTTTGGCTATATACTCTTCGCTTAACCTGAAGCCGTCTTCTCTGGTAGTCAGGAAGTTATTAAATCACTTGAATGTGAAAATTCACATACTCTTAATGGACTGGTATGGGAGCCTTAATACAAAAATACATTGAAGCCCCTTGTCTGCGATCAGTGTCGCTCTCGTGCGTGCATTCCACTATCTTCCTTCACATTCTTGCTGGAAAATAACTTTATCGAAAAAGCGAATAAGTAGAAGCTGGTGTACAGCGCCCGCGTTCAGGATAGCATATAGATAGGATCAACTACTTTCGTAGCTGCCGCGATGTATAGGATCTCAACGATGTCGAACCTTATCTATGTATGTCACCGTGTCGCATTGGTCAGGGTCCGCCGGCATTCGTTCCAACACTACTTTCCCTTACTTACTTAACAAATTTCTTTTAAAGAATGCAAGGCAATACAATGGGACCGCGGCGACCTAAGGGTGCCTCTTCTCAGTGCTAGGCGAGGGTAGTGGCAGCCCCCATAACCTAACTTCACCTTGGCTATCACTAAAGGTCGGTAAACTCCGGTTTCATTACTTATTTTCACTCACTTAGTCCATTTCCCCTTAAGGACAATCTCTCCCAAGAGAAAAGTGGAGCTTATTTCCATAGTTTGTGCTGAAAGTAAGCCTAATGCTGAATTTCCAACAGGCATTCAAATGATAAAAAATTTGAGGCATTTAAAAAATGCTACGTGAAAATGAATCCGATGACTATTTTTAACCGAACTTCGTCATTACATTTGTTGCAATTTAATGCCTAGTGGAAATCCAGCATAAGCGATTTTGGTCAAGTCCAACAAAATTCCCCAGTGAAGCCAAGTCTTTATCCACCTAGTTTTTCCATCGCAGAGAAGGGCTTCTTTTCCTCTGCTAACAGCATCGCGACCCGCGTTGAATACTTTGAGAATAGGAGCTTTTCTGCCCAAGCGTACTACATGACGAAGCCGGCGTAGCCGCTGTATTTTAATTCGCCGCACTATGTTTATAGCGTTGTAAGGCTCATACAGCTCATCGTTCCATCCTCTGCGGTATTCCCTATCGGAAAGGCCCGTAAATCTTCCTCGAAAACTCCAAGAGCCGCCTCATTGGCTGGTTTCATTGTTCAAGCTTCTGCGCCTTACACCAGCACGGGCATGATGAGTGATGTATAGAGTCTGATTCTTGTACGATAAGAGAGGACTTGACTTTTCACTGGGTAGCCCATGTTTTGATCTTATTAAAATCGGTGAACGCTTTCGATAATCGGCAGAAGAAAAATACCTCGACTGGTAGGTATGAAGTCGCCTATTTCTATCTACTTATGGTGGTTATTCAAAAATTTAACAAGTTCACTTTTCGAACATTAAATAAGGTTTTCAAAGCTAAGAATCAACCAGATCGTGTTGGCTCGACTATTGCTTCGTGTGTAAGGATTACTTCCCTTTACCAGCCCTAGATGGCAACTGTACGCTCTCGATCTCGCTTCAAATATAATCTTTCTTCAACAAAACAGTTTCTTCGAATTTCAAATGCGATTCAAGGTTTAGAATTTTTTAGTTCTAATTTTTCATTTAATAGACGGCGCCAATTCAAAAAAAAAAAACAAAAAAAAAAACCATACATATGAAGAAAAACTTCTCAACATTACAAGGAAAACTCATTAAAGATATTTATAATAAAAGAGAGCACGCACACATCAAGCGCACTCAATCTACTGGAAGTTACTTCAAAACGCAACTCATTAATCTGCATGTCAGAGACACTAAAAATAGACGCATTTGCGTTGTTGGACGAATGTCTTATCTCCTAACTTCTAAGTACTACTTGCACACAAGTATGCGCCTTTGTACGCTAAAAATGTGCATGCGTACATACATACATACATATGTACATATGGGACTGGCTGAATATGCAATGGCGGCGAGCGAGTATGCCATGTGTGTGGTTTTCACTTACTTACTTACTTCATCATATTCCTCAAAAACGAGAAAAAAGAACTTTTCTATTTATTTTCAGAATACTCTGTCGGTCTATTAATGAATGCGCACTACTCACTTGCAGTTCGCCGCTGACGAAATGCATCGCCAACAAATTACGCAATTGCAGTGTACTGCCGCAAAAAACACCAAACGTTGAGCGCCTAGCTCCACGCTTGCGAGTTAAGCAGCCCAGCCGAGGAAGTTGCAAGTGCTGCAGCGCATTAACGCTGTGCCAGCCAAAGCTTTGACCCTGAGCGCTGGGCAGCGTTTTCTGGATGAATTGCATTTAAGTACATGCGCGCCGCCTTTTATGTTTGTAGGGATTAAGGGCACCCACCGCCAGTGAGGGCAACAATTGAGTTGCGTCTCATGCCGAGTAAACAATAATGTTTGCATTCGACTTGATGATTCTTTTCATGTAAACAAATGGCACCAATGGCAGCGTCAGTCAGTCGAGGCAATAAAATTGGGCACTCGCTCATTGCGCGTGTGACTATTCTGCATAATTGGTCGCCTAATGCCAAGAATGCCTCTGGCAAAGCTGCTACATGAAAGGAAACTCATAAAGGGCTAAGACCGAGCCATCGGTTTATTTGTATGTATGGCAGGCGAAGACTACGCTTCGTTTTCTTATGCTAATTTCGCTTGAGTTGTAAAAGTCAAAGACGCCATAAATGTATCATCATCTATCATTTTCAAAATTGCCGCTGCGTTGTTTCAGTTATTGGGCGATCGTCCAAGTGGCGCTTAAAAATGAAAGTCTTTGGGGTGGGTGCTGACTGATGTCTATGCAAATGATCATAGGCTGCACGCCCCACACATCTCGCAGCTGCAGAAATTAATTAATGCGGAAGTTGGCTGACATTTGCCTAGAATTCTTTAAAGAACTTTGTATTCCCTTAAATGCACGGAGGTATTCACTCATTACATAGGAGTGTGTATATACCAGACCTCTGCTTGCGTTGATTCAAATTTCCAGCCAAACATATACAAAACATTCAGCGTTTAGAATTTTGTCTGGCTGGTGAGCAATACTCAGGTCTGTTCATGGTGCGGCCCGTCGGGGAGTAACGTGGTGGTTGTGGTTTAACACCAAAATACGGGGAGAATCGCCAATGGTTCAACGTGGAGTTGTATGGCAACCAGGTGCCGAACTCATAGTACGGCAGAGGTTTAGATGGGCCTCGAGCCCGACCAAGGTGACGAGTGTGTCCACCACACACTGCCAATTGGTACTGAACGCTTGCATTTCGGAGCGCTGTTCAATGCATTTTAATTGATCCGTTGTGCTTAAGGGCACCATGATGTTAAGTAATTTTGGCAGGTAATCACGATAAATCTTATGCACAACTGTCTCCTTTGCAACTCAGCCAAAGAGACAGGATTGCACATATTTCTTCCTGCGGACTTAAGATTAAACGAAGTGTGAAGATAAGAAGACTTACTAATATCTACCAAACTATCTGCTGGAACTTCTATGGGTCTTTCAACGGGCTACTAAAATTATCCGTCAAACGCGCAATACTTCTCTTCGGCCTTCGCTGGATGGTTTTGTTGCCCTACTATGGAAGATCGCCCTTAGAAAAACCACCTCGTGCGAAGTCTACCGCTTTACACTCATAAAATTGAATCTTACTGCTGATATTATTTTAGCATTGGATAGACTTGACGAATCTGAGTCTGAGAAGTAGTATTGGCGACGAACAAAGAAACTATTGTTTTGGGATCATCGGAAAGCAGGTGGATGCGAAGAGGTGTCAGGTGTCGTGTTGTTCACGGAGTAGGAATTCTAATTTCTCGACATCGAAGGCGGCAGCTCGCGGAACACGATTTTGTCACTCTGGGTGCTGAGGCTCGTTCCAATATCATCGCACATACTTGGGTAGGATGATTTTCAACTGATAGTCCCTATAATGGTGCCGCATAGCAAATCACCGGCCAGAAAAAAGTCTAAAACATGGCTCTCAGAAACTTGTGGAGATTCACTGTCAAAATTTTGACTGCCTCGACTTCTATCCTACTCTCCCTGTACCAGGAGTTGAGTAAGACGACTTCATAACTTCGAAAATTTTTGGCAGTAAAGAAGTTGATGAAAGAACGCCAACAGCTGAATACATCAAATGATGGTTGTATTATAGTGGGTTTAATGAAGGTCTTCAGGGCAGCACAATTTTTTATCATTAGGAAACCTGTCTCCACTTACATATTTATGTGTGTACACTAATCTAATTGTATATATGTATATTTTCTTTCCAGCCGAGATGATATACGTGGAACCATGCAGTCGCTCGTGTATTCCTACAACCAGTTGGACAACAAATTGGAACGGCACGAACATCGTGAAAGGGCGCTTGGCGAATTACTAAAGAAAGCTTTACAGAGTCTACAGAAAGGGCAAAAGAATCTCGAACCACTTAATGGTATATTTGGGCGTCTAGACGAGCGAGTCAGCCAAATTGAAACAATGTTGATAACGGTAAGTCAAATAAAACATCCCAAAATACTACTTTGGGTATCACATAGACATTACACTTTTACTCCTTTCTTTCTCTACAGCAAGAAGAAAAGTACAATATTCAAACTGAAAAGCTCGGCGAAACACTCGAGCACATCTTCAAATGGATGCGAGAGAATGATGAATGCTACAAACGACCACCAATGCCGCTAGGTGGCCAAGCAATCGCTCCATCGCCGCCCATCATTCAAGCACCAGCAGTGTCGCCAGAGTTTATTGCCGAACAGGAGAAAATTAATCGAAATATGCTCGAGCATATAGAAAAATTATCCTCGAATGTCGAAAAACTGCTGGACGCCTCCAAGGATATGATGGAGCAGACCGAGGTAGCATTTAAGAGTGTACCATCCACTGCAGAAATGCTTACCAAAATTGAAGACAAGCTGGTGAGCTATAGTGTGATAACGCCAGCGCCAGCGCCAGAGCCGGTGGATAACTCCGAATTCGAGAACAAAGTTTTTGGGAAATTCGACGAGCTGGCAACTGGCATACAAGAACTACGCGCGCAACCCAAGCCCCATGAAGGACTGTCGGAGGCAGACAAAGAATTAATACATGGACTGACGAACGATACGCTCGCTGCGATCGAAAATGTGAAGACCAATGTGCAGAGTGTGACAGAGCAAGGTAAGCGCAATGCGGATTATATGGCTCAGAATTTTTAAACAAGCTTGAACTATTATTAACACAAATTATTTATCCAACAGCGCAAGCTGGCACAGCCGCACTCATCAAGGAGACCGAGCAAAGTCTTGAGACTGGTGCTGCTAAAATTTTGGAAGGCGTTACCGAGCAGGCCGACACGCTCGAGAAGTTCTACAACGAAATGAACACTAGCTACAGCAAGTTGAACGATGGCCTCGAGATCTTCAGCAAATTCAATAACATTCTGATGGCCAACTCCGAATACGTTTTAGACACGCAACGCAAGGTCGAATTTGGCACCTTGCAGACAGTGCAAAAGATCAACGATCTGCTTGACAAACAACGAGAAGAGATCGTCGATTTGCTGAAGGCACGCTTCGACGCTGTTGACGAGAACGTAATTGCTGGACAAATCGAAACCATGCAGAATCTCAGTTCGACTATCGAAAGCGAAATCAGCCACGTCTGGCGGCAAATTTCCATTATGAATGCCGAGATCATCGACAACAAGGATCTGCTTAGCCTAATGCAGGGACGTAATGAGGTGTTCGTGAACAGCACTTTCCTCAGCATGGCTTCGATGGGCAATAAGGTGGAGGACATTAAGGGACGCATGTTGGATATGGATACAAATTTGAATTATCTGCTGGGCAAACTCTCTCTGATGTCACAGGAATTTGGAGCCATTAAGCAAGGACTCGCCGAATCGCTGGAACAGTTGCGTAACACCTTCCATGTGATGCAGGAGAAAATACCTGCTGCGGGACCAGGACCGCATAATATTGCAAAAAATGAATATGAGACAGAGGTGAATTTGTTGAATAAGCGTCATGGGGGGAGCGCAGAGCAATAAGTAATTAAAAATACGTGGAGGATCATTTACATATTTTGGTTTTTTTTGCAAGAAATTAAAATGCGATATACTTTGTACAATTTATTTTAATTATTCATCACACACACACACACTGACTCATTTTTCCAATTCACTGTTAACCAGAGAAAAAAGATACAATAACACACGTTTGGCTATTATCAGCTATTATTTATAAGACGTAACCGTTAGATTAGGTATTCTCTTTCGTATTAATTAATAAAATTAATAAAAAATATTTTTAAGTTTAATCAAACTATACCAAATCAGGAAACCTTCGGCATTGCTTCGGCATAATTTTTCTTCACGCTTGCATTGTCTGCGACGCACAGTGGGCTGCCTCATACAAGTTAGCCCGAAAAAAAATATTTTATTGCTTAAGATGCTTAGATTTGTTGTAAAAAATTGCTATACAAAATTTACCTTGATCATACAGGGTGTCCCAGAATTAACGTGCCAAACTTTAGGGCAAGGTAGGTGGGGGGGTGAGCTCACTGATAAAAAAAAAATTTTCAGGTACAAGTGTCACCGTTTTTGAAATATTTACATTTTTTCGAATTTAAAAAA